TGAGAAGACGCACAAACGTTGATGATGTTGTCAAAACCATATATCGAAAGAAACAATCATGGGCTGGACACGTGACAAGATGTAAAGATAACAGATGGACAGTAAGATTAACCGAGTGGTACCCTCGAGGATGCAAACGCCCTGTGGGTCATCCGAAGATGAGATGGTGCGATCCAATGGTACAGTTACATGGTCACCAATGGACAAGAATAGCACAAGACAGAGAAAGATGGAAAGGTTCCGATTTGCAAACATGGAGGAATGTTTGAAGACAAATCGCGTAAAAGGTAAAAGGTAAAAGGTAATGTAGCATTGATTCAAGAACATCTTTGAGCACACGCGATGTCACCTTTTCATCAAGAATTTAGCAATCAGAGTACATAATGGTTTTCGGCGCCAGGTTTAGGGAGAGCAAACGAAAGCGCTCGCAACTGATTTGATGCACATAGTGAACCAGGTCGATTATGTACCATTTGAGAATACAGGAGAGGTACTCTAGCCTGAACTTAGCCATCCGATAACGGAAAGCTGTGAAAAATGACAGCATTCGGTTCGATGAATTTTTTACCTTGTTCGAATTTTTGCATTAACAGTTGTTTTTTTTGCACTTTTAAAGGCTTTTCGTATCGATTTTGATCCACTTGACATGCATGAAACGCTGTAATGTGTGGGTTTACACTACATACTTTGCCGAAAGGGTTTCGTGCCGGGGTAAAGATTACCGTCCAGAGCCACACTGCGCCAAACTTTATCGATTGCAATCAAAATGCCCCTACTAGAACAGAGACGATTGATTTCTTACGCCTCACCTATACCGTCGACACAGCCCAAAATCTAGAATGAAGATGGTTTGCTGACTGTTGTCTTCTTCTCGTCCTATGGCGAAATTTGGTGGTTTGATATCTCGATGGAGGAAACCGCACTGAAATGGCCACAACAATATCCTCTAATGGCATTAAGGTGTAGAAATTTCGAATTGGGGTACTGTCAGGGTTATCCGTTTGCTGTTCGAATTCTGGTATTCTCACAATCCCCTCATTTCGAAGCAGCGCTCACGATAGATGGATGGCAGTGCGGCATTGACGACGTCATTGAATGTCGTTCACATAGGACCGCCACTCAAGTCCTCCCACTAAGAACGCTCAACGACGCCTTCAAAATAGCAAAGCCGTCCAGCCATCATCATTATCTTAGAAGGAGTGTCGATGTGACCGCCACCACCACCATCAGCCTCGGGAGGTCCCTATGCGACCCCTACCCCACCCCTCGACTATTGCTCTCATCACCATGGCTGGTTTTATGGTATTTGAATACTCAGACCAGTCGATACACTCCAGCTCTGCCTCTGATCTCCTTCAGAGTGGCGTAAAGCGGAGAGAGGAAGGGGAGGGGGGAGGAATCAATGTAGAACTAAAAATAGGAAGAACGGCAGATGCTATGATTTCGCCTTTTTGCCCCTTTTATGAGTTGTCGAAAACAAGCAGAAAAAAATGTAAAAAAAACAATCTCTCGCCTTCCCCGCAACTGCGGTATGACTCTCATTGAAGATCTCAAACACGAACACTCCTTGCTAGCATCACCAATACACAGAAACCAAAAGATGACCCCTCCCGCAACCCAAAATACCGCATCTTTGGGAACAGCGCAACAGACGTGTGACCCTTGTTGGTGCTTCTTCGTAATTTTATGGAAATGAAGCTCCGCCGAAACTTAATTTGACGACGTTTCGGGCCGTAAGCCCTTCTTCAGGTCTAGAAAAATATTCATTTATTACGTGCGTATATAAAAGAGCGAATCATAACATGATATACGAATGCGTAAGAGTTACTGACCAATTACAAAAAAGGAAAGAAACGGGTTGAGGGGGTGGTGGATGGACTCCGCTCGTGGATCGCTGTAAGAATGATAGGTACAGTAAATGTAGAGACTTCGTGAAAAGGACCAACTTCCTGGATTACTCACGCCGGCGGAAGAAAAGAGAAGCTCGGGGTGGATGTAGTACAGATGGTAGCATTCGATACCCTTCCACTTAACCATCCGTCACGTAGCCTCCATCTATCATATCATTCTACACTGCGTCCCATAATTATAACTCCACCCAAGAATTTCCCAAAATCTCACAAATTTAGATGTTTTAGAAAAAGTCTCTAATGTGGCAGTGTGTCAAATACAAATACGAAATTCCTTATAAGCATCATCTTCCAACTTGAGATCCCAGGAATTTTTTCTAATAATTTTTGTTCAAAAGGCCACTTGGCCAACGTCCCAAAGTTCTTACCACAGATGATGCCTTCCACGTTTTCCACTCGAGAATCAACTTAGGACTTATTCGCAAGCAAAAAACATTGTTCCGTTGAGCCATTAAGTTCCGAAGAAGATTTGATGGCAGAGCACGGCTTCATAAAAAAGGATGTTTCTTCTGTGACACGGCCTTTGTTTCTACCGAAAAGCAAGGGGAGATCCTTTGGAGCTCTTCTCAACTCCATATCATGTAAAATCCCTGAAAAAATTCTCGAGCTCCTCGTAAATTTGGTCAAAATCTTGTGCGATTGCCTAATTGGTAGTTTTTGCGATGACCTGACCTTTAAAAAGTCAGACAGCATTTTCTATCATACTGTCCCCTTGAGAAGTAGGATGTTAGCACATAAAAAAGTTTGGCGAAACGGAAGTGAAAAATAATAGAAAAACATGAGGTGGAGTTATAATTTTGGGACGTTGGCCAAGTGGCCTTTTGAACAAAAATTATTAGAAAAAATTCCTGGGATCTCAAGTTGGAAGATGATGCTTATAAGGAATTTCGTATTTGTATTTGACACACTGCCACATTAGAGACTTTTTCTAAAACATCTAAATTTGTGAGATTTTGGGAAATTCTTGGGTGGAGTTATAATTATGGGACGCAGTGTATAGCGATGATTTCCACAGTGGTTCGGAGTTCCTCCCTACTGTTAATTGGAGGGCTCGGCCTTCGTATCCCAAGCGCTTCCTTTTCCTTCCCAGCTGATCACTTACGTTCTTATATGTCACATAGACCTTGATCTCAGGTGAAGAGAATGGCCTTGAAGAACGCTGAACATTTCTTGCGTTGCCTGCGTGACGGGATGGTTCCGAACGTTTCAAGGATATCATACCAAAGTTTTGATGTGTCTGCCCTTTATACCAACGTAGACACGAGAACAGCAATTGAAGCATGCATTTACCTTTTGCGATAACACCACCACCTTTGTCAATTTTACGGTTTGTCCCACGACATAGCAGAGTTTCTGGTAAATGTTGTTAACACGTTGACGACAACGCACGTTTTGGCTTTTTTGGCCGCGTGGGACCGGCGCGATTTTGCGAGCGCGGCCGCCTCAGGTAATTCAGGCGGGTTTTGGGTGGTAAATAAGGAAAAACGTGATTGATACAGATAAGATCGGTACTTTCAGTGCATAGAAGCTACGCAGGGGTATAGTAGTAAATATTTGATAAAAAGAAGTAAAATGAAAATGAAAAAGCAAAATTTGTGAGGCTCAGCTGCAATGGAAGTTAAAACGAACTTTACCTCGATTGTACCGATCAAGATGCATATCATGTCATCCCTTAGGTTCCGTATTTACTTATACTACCCTTTGAATCTTTACCCTCATGAGGGGAAAAAGGAAACGAAAAATTAACTAAACTGATGATTTTGTAGGAATCAGAAACTCTCCTCTTAACTAAGGCACACGAGACCATTCTGTGGGTCAATATATTTGTAGGTATGCTGAGGTTTCCCCTATAGAATACACTCAAAAGTACTTAACTTGAATCGCGCTTGCGCGGAAAAAAATGAATGTAATGGGTGCAGGACACATACGTCCCGCGCTGTCCGTCATGGCCTGCAAAGTGCGGGACGTATGTGTCCTGCGTTGTCGTCAACGTGTTAAATCCAATATGTTCCGGTTTCGAAACAACATTTACATGCAAATAGGGTTAGCAATGGGCAGCCGTATAGCACCGCTTCTGGCTATCATATTCATGGATCGTTTGGAAAGACGTTCTTTGAATTCGGGACTGCTGTTCTACGATCGTTATGTGGACGATATTTTCGTCGTCATAAGTCTAGAACAGCCGTACGTCAGACGTTCATGAAGCTGAATTCAGCACATCCGAATATCACACTGACTGTTGAGGATCCTGAACAAGACGGTTTCCTCCCATTTTTGAACACCAGAGTGAAACTATCAGAAGGCCAAGTACTTTTAATGTGGCACAAGGAGAGCGCTTCAAAGAATATCCTACTATATATAAGCGGCTAGCGTGTGTCTGTTGGTGTGTGTGTATGTTTGACCGGAAATTCATAGCTCGAGTCACAGTAACGATAGCGCAGTGGTTCTTACATATGTTATAGGTG